TGTCGATTCAGTGAAGAAATAGGCCCATGTCCTGTTGCCGATTCTTGTACTTGTCGTGACTTGATTCACAAGGTTGATTTTTACGTTTAGATCATTTCATTTATTGAAATTCACTCTGTGATGAATGATTCAGGAATGTGTTATGCTTAAATTTGCAGTACGCACGTGAACAACAGAGGTGCACATCCGTAGTTTTAATTTCTTCCCATTGTAACTAACTGGTATTCTTGGATATGCCTGAGAGAATATGAAATTTGCGAATCCCATTTGTGAGTGGCTTGCTTTTGTCGAACAAATGCAAGTAGCCATATATTAAATAGAGTTGAGGTTTGATAATTCTGGTGATTGAGTATTTAAAACTGAGTAAGCAGTTCTGGATAAGAGTAAGGTGTGACCTCCGTATTTTAGGGAAAGCTTGCATTTGTTTACGCACAATATTTACGGTGAGGTGAAGCGGTGAATTCATTAGTAAAAAAACCTAAGAAGGTACTGCTGGTTTGAAAAATTAAACATTAATGCATTATCTGTTAGGTGTTTGTTGTATATAAAGAATATAATGTACATAGACTTAAGGTTATCCCATTATTAACGACTAGTCACTAGTGTTTTCATTGTTAAGTTATCGAACTACTGAAGAAACCTATCGACTATCGACTGCATAAATCCTATCGACTATCGACTGGCATGCGGTTGTTCAACGACCAGATGACCTTGAGATAAATTTTACAACGACTCTTGTGCCACACTATGAGACCTGGGGGCCATTGACAGTAGAACAAGAAATTTAGGACCTACTTAGCCTATTCTTTGCCAATTATACCATAATACCATCCATAATACATTTACATCCACTTCTGCTTAAATCTCTTAGGTATTTAGTTAATGTCTGCTATTTTAAAGCACAATTGGTTATTGACATTTGACAAACTCCAAAATAGTGTATATATGGACTTATTTTAAAGTTATTAGTACACACTATTTTGATGCTTGATGCATTGTTTTCATCTATTCCATCTTACAATTACCTATTCACCGTTTTCATTCATTAATTTTCGATCCAGTAAAATTGTTGCACAAGTCCTTTCATGTCATAAGAACATCACATGTATATATTAGATAATATCACGGGTATGAAAATTGTTATCGCCTAAAACAGGGGTTAAGTAGCAGTACAGTAGTTAAATAGAAATTCAATTACCTAATCTGAGGCTCTTCTGTTGACCTAACACCGCCTCAGACAATAATTTGGCGACCGTCTGTGGAGCGACGGCAAGAGCAGTGATGGGAATTGGGAATAGTAGCTGCAGTGAGGGACATGCATATAAATTAGTATTCAGGAGAGAAATTTCCCACGATACCTCTCGTATGCTGCAAGTTCAACCACTGTATAACTGTTGAATTATTATTTTCTTTATAGAAAAGGTAATTTTCCTACATCAGAAAAAGCTACGGGATTCTATGGCTCGTATATTATCAGAGCTTGCTATTATCACATCTAAAACTAAGCCAACTAAATTCATTATTATGGCTAAATACCTTCATTTCGGCATTATCACCTGACTATACATTAGTTATTATAAAATTTATTTCCATATATATTTTCATGGATTGGCCCCGATATCAGTATTTTGTAAAATGGAATAAAAATTTTCTGTCGCTACTCATATTGTCACAGGTATTAATTTGGGAATAGAGACATTTCAATTATTGAGTTCAATTTTTTAACATGAATGCAGATGAGAAAAATTTGATATATTCTAACTCATTCAATGCAATACCCAAATAAACTCCTACATTATATTAAATATTATTGGAACACCGGTCTTGCACCAGATGTTGATGCCAAATCGAGGGAGTTCCCTGAATATTTTTAAAGGGCTATTGCTTTTATTCTCTTAGTAGGAACACTCGAGTTCAAGCGATAATGTATCTCAAGTGAAGTATTCTGGCCTAACTTCTATCAATTCAAGTTCATATGCAATACTGATTTTCATAAAGGACCTCACATTACCCATTGTACTCATCAACATATATATATTTTTACTGTTCAGTTTAACCTGCACAAGTTAAACTGCTCAGTGCAATGTCACATAAGGCGATTAAATGCGTTGCAATAGGACTATTTCATAATTTCGTGTGCATTCAGAGCATATTCATCATTCAAGTTAAGCGAAAAAGCACATTCAAATTATAATCGGCTGAAAACTTTCGATAATTATAATTTAGCCACGGAACTATGAACACTTATTTGTAGTTTCAACTTTATTCATTGAGATGTTCCCTTCAGTTATTGGCACTGAAAACATGATAAATTTGATAAATACACTTAAAATTCTGACAAGTGTAGAGTACTTCACCTCTGCCAGAACAATGAACAGCCATCTACCGATATGAGAAAACATTTATACACCGTGAGAGTGCGAAGGCGACAATAGAAAAAATTAGGAGTTTCTGTCGACACTGAGTTGAAAATTTTTAAGCGTATTGAAACGCAAGGTAATAAATACAATAAATTACTCAAACGGTGTTATGAATACCAAGATGCAGCAGAAGCGATGAAGCTGTTTGTTTGTCACTGTCGTGCTCCCTAACCCAGAGTTTGGAAAGGCAGGGTGGTCACCGAATTTTGAAAAAAGACAAAAATTTAGTAGTAAGTGTTCACAGACGTGCACCGAGAATTGTTTCAGGCTTAAAGGGCAAGTCTTATGAAGAAAGATTACATATTTATAAGCTTACAGGACTATATTATCGACGGCTGCGTGGCGACTTCATTGAAGTAGCTTTATAGAATAGAATAGAAGTGTGTCGGCGTTGAAGAAATAGGCCCATGGCCTGTTGCCGATAAGGAGACTCATGGTTTATACAAGGTCCCAGTAAGATTACTAGAATTTGAAATGAGTACCAACACTAGAGGAAACGGCTATAAACTAAAAAAATTACGTTGCAACTCATCCACGTGACAACACTTCTCGCTTCGAGTCCTGGACATGTTGAACAGCCACCCTGATTACCTACATCGTTGACGCTCATAGAATGAACGCTTTCAAAAACAGACTAGACAATGCTGCGCAGAGGTATATGTTCAGTTCTGAAATGCTTAGCATCTAACGAGACTGGTAATAAGTCCAATAGCTATTACAAACCAAGGTCAGTTTCGAAAAGATATAGTCAAAGGACCTATTTTTAGATCTCCTGTGAACAAGATCGAAAAGTCACGATCGAAAAGTCACGATCACAAGTCACGATCGAAAAGAACTAGAATTGGCGACAGGCGACGCCAGGCGTAATCTTCTGCGCTGCCAACACTATGATATGATATGATATGAATCATATGATATGATATGATATGATTTCATATCATATGCCACAAATTAATTGAGTAGTAGACCATTTTATAAATAAGGAATCTGCATTCTAATTTTCGATTTATTTCTTCGCTTCAAGAATTGGTTGAGCTGAAAGTTTTTCAATGTATACTTTTAGTTGCTTTCACCGATTGTTCGGGTCAAAATTATAACCTCTTAACACAGAGAACTAAGTGAAAGTTGTCGTCGGATTTTAACTTACCAACTCGTGCGCATCTGTAAATTGGCATTGGAAGTGTCTGTTTTTAGCGCATTTTCTCACTTATGGAAAAAAAGCGCTATTGTGCTCGTTCTGTCTGATCGTGTGGATGTCCGTCCGTGACCACGCTTTCGTTGACGAGGAAATGCGCTCTCTGTCACTCACTGCAGTGAGTACCGAGTTATATTTTATTTATTTATATATTTTGGATAAACAAATGCTAGTAGTGCGTTGTCGTCGTCCCCTGGCCCTGCCACAATTAAGTAGCCTCGTCGCGCATGTAGATCACGACCTCACGAGTACCAGGATTGTAGCAGAGAGGCGCGGGTTTGATCCCAGCTCTGTGCGTCAGTTTCTGGTCAGAATCGGCAAGGAGGCCGGGCGGTTAAGCAGAGCAGAATTGTAGCAGTGAGTTGCGAGTTCGAGACCGCAAAATGATGTGAATGTTCTGCGATGTTAAGAATCGGCGACAGGCCTACGGCCTACTAAGCTGAAACCGCTATTACCGCTATTATTATTAAAGTGAATGATGTGAATAGTCTAGTGAATGATGTGAATAGTCTAGTGAATGATATGAATAGCCGAGTGAATGACGTTAATGGTCGATTTATATTGTCGAATGAATTATGTGAATAGTCGAATCATATAGTCGAGTGAATGATGATAGCCTTATTGGAGCCTGTTGGGGTAGTGCCTGACTGCCTGTCTGACCGTGTCGGTAGTTTCTCAGACCTGCCTTGGACTTGTGGCGGTTATTCCGTTTTGTAAGGTATGTGTGTTTCATAATATATATTGGGATGTTGATTGTAAAAGAGAGTTGGTTTTCATTAGGTCAGGTTTTATTAATATCTGTAGTTGGGCCTTTCACATTTTGGGTCTAGGTGTTCTTTTTGACAAAGACTTAGGTTCTTCGTTGACATGGCGAGATTGTGTTCTTCTTGGTCTACCGAATGTGATTCATAGTGCACTGTTTTAATAGTATGAATATGGTTTGGAATTGAGCGAAAAAAAAGAAGTCCGGGTTTGAGTGAACTTGTATATTACTTGCAGTGGTATGCTTGGTATAAAATTCTTAGTAGTTTTAATCGAGGTGTCGACTTGCAGCTTGATAACATTTAAGTGATAAATTTTCGATAGTTCTCCTCGCGTGATTCTAACTTTTGATAAGCTTCAGTGTGTCGAGCCATCGGGTCTAAATTCGGTTGCATTAAAATGGTCCAATTTGATACCATCTGGCATAAAAAAAGCGATAGTTATTCTTATTCTGTTTATAGTGTTTTGAAGCACGCGCGCAGTTTTGCGATGAAAATTTTACATATTATATTATATATTAAAACTCAGCCTACAGGCAAACTGAATTAAAGTATAGATAGGCTACGTAAACAACTATTTTTTTCCACAAGTAAATGAGTAATTAGAACGTTGAGTCAATTGGGCTCATTTTATTCTCAAATTTGAATAGATATCATTAGATCACTCACCTCCTCTACTAACTTCTAAAGAGAAAATAGAACAAAAAATGTTTATTCTGTCAATTGATTCATGCATTGTCTCCGACTTTACGCAAGTAAGCAAAATTTCAGGTCAATTTAACAGGTAGAAGTGTGTTAAACATCGATTATAAGATTTGTAGCAGACAATCAACAAGAAGCAAAGTTAAAGAGAACTGTTGTAACAAGTCGATAAACCGTTCCACCACCGCTTCCCATTAATACACGGAATTCATTATGATATCTTATGAAATATTTATCGCCTGATGGCAAACGGTTTTCAGTTTTGTATACTTATTTATGTTATTTTTTCTCATTTATCGATATAATATACGCATCAGTTCTTATTTTATTCGTCAATGAAAATTTGATCTACACTCTATTTCAAAGTTTCATTGACACAAATATATCATAACAAAAATAATAACACATTCGAAGTGAATGGTATGATTCATTTTTCGGTAAATAATTTTGTGTCTAATGAAAGCGGCATAAATTTCATTTTGTCGATGAGAGAAAATTATTGAGCGACTTTTTTTGGTGAAAACTTTAAAAATCGAAAATACCTTTAGATGGCAACATTAGCGCGTTTCTGGTTTTGACAATGGCTGCTTACTCATTGCGGCATATCTTATGTTGTGTGACGATCGTGTGGTGTTACCGTTAATCATAGCTAGAATTAAGAAGGATTGAATTTCAAAATGAGTAGTCCTGTCCCCTATTTGGGGAGCAAAATTAGTCTAATTTCAAAGTCTGAGATCAGATATGAAGGAATATTATACACAATCGATGCCCAGGAATCAATCATTGCTTTGGCCAAAGGTAAGAGAAGAGTTATGAAAGGCTAGCCTATTAGTCGGCGGATCTGTTGTGTACGTGAGCCTTTAGTTAATGACCTAGTACTTCATTGAAATTTTAACGTATGTTTGGATCAAATTTGAATGAATACAATTGCTGGAATGGTTAAAGCTGCATTGAAGAGGAGAGTGATTTTTTAGAATCGGTTCATTTTTATTTATATCATTTACCCAAGATTTAGGTTTTAGGCCAATATTAGGTATATGTATTATGATGCTGGTATCTATAATACCTTTCTGGTCTACTTGGACTTGAAATTGAACTTGAAGGAGAGTCTGTGTTAGTCTATATTACTTTGATTTGAAAGCAAATTGACCTGCTGCATGTGGCTTGGAAGTTCTAGGCTAGGGGGGAAAAAATTGATATTACAGCCTATACGGCCTCAAAAAATTGATATTACAGCCTATACGGCCTCAAAAAATTGATATTACAGCCTATACGGCCTCAAACAATGGATACCTAGTTATGCAGCAGCATAGTGGCAAACCAGAGCATGGTGGCAGGGAATTATTGTGAGTACTTATGCGTTTGCAAGAGCATCGACCGGTCCGGCTCAGCGGGGGGGTAGGAAGGGAATACCGAAAGTCTCATTTACGACTGGACTAACCCATTGAGCAACATTTTCTCAGTTATGGTCTCATAACAACTCAATTTTAAAATATGTACAGTTTCGAAGTTGATATGACTTTCTTCAGAAGTGCAAAAGCTTTTGCCGGTGAAGGTGTTTTACGATCGGTCCGTAAAGAAGCGTTGATCGGTTCAAAATGACATAAGAACAGGTTCTTTTGAATAACCTATGGATTGCCACCATGAACCAGAGCTTCTGCAGAATCGGTTCATTTTTAGTTTCCTCATTTACTCAAGATTTAAACCAATTTCTTATGTATGATAATGCTGGTATCCAGGATACTTTATTGGTCTACTTATAGGACTCAAAAATGAACTTGAAGAGAGTCAAAAAAACTCTCTGCTTTGCCACTATGTGCAGCAGCAGTTAGGCTAGTCCACTTGGTTTAAATTTGTATATTGGTATCCCAATGTGACTGAGGGGGAGACTTCTCTCTTTGAGACCCAAGAGAGGATGTGTGAAGTGCTAGGGGAACTTGGGAAGGGGGCTAGCCTACAATTCCATTTAGAAGTCTGGAAGTAGGTATTCAAGTTGTTAGGTACTTGGTAGTAATCTTGCTGAACTCAAATCACTTTGTGGTAAAGGTTTTGTTGCCATATCTCCATAGTAGAGTGTGAACTGTGAGATGTGGATAATTTGAGATAGGACTAATGGAGCATTCACATTTGTGGAATTGGTTGAAATCTTATGAAAAACTAGTTAATGGATAAAGATGATTGGAATTCTTGGATTACCTACTGTTCTTCTGAATCCTCCAGCTTCAATAACTGGAGACTTTGCTATCATAGAAAGCACAGCTGCAAATAACCAATTTTGTGCACCAAAAAGCCCTAGATGGAACACCATGGATCTCTCTGGACATAGAGAGATCTGATCAGTCATAAATCAAATTTGCTATCCATAGCTGACCATTGACATCATCCTGCTCTGAACATTTTGAGCTCTACACCCCCAGATAAGAGCTAGAATAACCTAGACATGAATTGCTGTCCAACACTGGACTCTGCTTTGAAGCATCGCTTTATATCCTGGCCACTACTAAAACTGGAACTGGCACGAAACAGCCTGTGACCACTGTTATGCTCTCCTCAAGCCTTGCATAAAACCTTCCACACACCACCAGACCACGGATTGAATGTGGCTTCTGGGTATCGTTGAAATAAGTCTACATTACGGTCACTGCATCTGGTTTTAAGTTTGAGATAGCATAGTTCTGTTCCAAAACTTATTATTGTCTTGAGTGGACATTCAACTAAGGGCTGGTAATTTCACCACCTTATATGGCTTTTTTCAATTTCTGCTGTTGAAACGATGGACTTTATTTACAGGCTTGAATTTCAGAGGGTTATTAAATTAACCGCTACACATAACCTATTGCACATGCCAATCACTCTGGAAAGGATGACCTCATTATCCCACAAACCTATCTTGACATGGAGATGTGCTTCTACCCAAAAATGATGCACTATCTTAGGGCAGAAGCATGTGCACCATCCCAGAATTCCAACCTGCAGTGATGAATTGCCTATTGCTTATGATTTTTCATAATCATCCATGTAAAGATTGCTGTAACCATCAAACTGTGTGATTGTGCAACGGTATTCCAAATCAGATTGTATGGAGGAAAGGTTTGATGAGCAATGCTAAAATTCCATCTTTGATCTGTAGGACATATCTCTTGCTATAGTAAAGACATGATCATGCAGGGTGCAAGGATTTGCTTTTATTCAGTATGTAATCATTTACAAATAATTTTTTGAAATTAATTAGCATTACTGAACTTACCAGAAGAATACTTGTGAGTAATGTCAATGATGATCTCATTGCTTTTCAACGAAACTTGACGTCTTTACAAGTTACTGCATTGTGGTTAGGTTAAATTTTGTCTCCTGTAGAATATTTGAATTTGGGTATTAGATTGGTGTTAATTTGTTGGGTATTAGATTGGTTAATTAATTTTTTTAATATTCAAAAATTAAATGAGAAATTCATGGTACATCTTTAAGATTGGAGACACTGGATTCTCTGGAAGTGTTGTCTTTAAAAAGTAATTTTTAAACGCATATTATTTATTGTCCAACTTCCATGAGTCATATGCTCTTTCTTAAAAGAGCAAAACAGTCAGAGGTGATATTGTAGCAGAGGCTAAAGGGGTGGGGTAGATTGTGTTGTGAGTAAAATGAAAAGGGAAAGAATTTGATGCAGAAAGTTACTCTGTTATTGCCTAGTCTTGCTTAGTGTGCTCTCAACTATAGTTTCCAAGTTGATATAAGGTATTGCCATCTCAAGCTCCATGAAGGTACTGGTTTATTTACAAAGGCACAGAATTCTGCCTAGCAGTCAGACATACAGAAAGTTCGCAGCACATAATTTTGAGCAGCTATGTAATATGGCTCGGCTAACAATAATTGAATGAATATTTTATTCATTCACAGAGCTAATGATTTTTGTGGAGTTTTACCTCCTGCTCTGGAGGCCAACTTGAAGATACAGGCCATTGTACACAAACTGGATTGTGTTTAAGGAAGACTGATAATAAACCATTAAGCTTAAATCTTTGTGGCTGCAAAATGTATTTGTTGACAGATTGTATTGTAGAGTTCCAGAATTGATGTCTTGGCATTTGCAGTGACTCTTGCCTAATAAAGATTTTATAGGATTACCGCTTGCCAGAATGGTACAGAATTGTCTGCACCCTTCTGCAAAATGCAGTTTTTCTAAACAAAAAAAATTTTGTTACCTTGTGCCATTTTCTTATAGTTTAACCTTCCCAATTCAGAAAATTGGACTGCTTGAAAATTAAGGCCTTTTATGAAGGCCTACTGAACAAGGCTACTGAAATTACCTAGACTCCTCATCTACCTCATTAAAAATGACTAGATTTTTATCATGCCTGTTCCTTTCTTTGACCTGGATATATTACTAGGTTATGGATTTACACTAGTCTTTATATTCATCCTCTCGGCCACCGCTTAGTGGTTGTCCAGGATAATATCCTGCACAACCACTAGGTTGTCCTAGCATTTATGGATTCTTTATAATATACTCAGGTCTCAAAATGCCTAACCCTATTTGTTGATACTTTCAGTGCGGTCTTTTGGGACCGAAGACCGCCAAACTGAGATGCCTGTACCCGCACGAGATGAGGTCTACGAGTACATAATCTTCAGAGGCACGGACATAAAGAAGATAGAAGTCTGTGAAACTCCTAAGCCTATGAGTGCAATACACAATGATCCGGCCATTGTTCAGGTTTGTCTGTCTGATATAGCATTCTAAACAGTTTCCGTTTGCTTTGAAATTTACAAATTTTCAAGTCTTTGAATGGTATCTCATCTTGAAAATACTAATGCAAAATAACCTGTTTTAGAGTACTTCTGTGTTGACGTGTTCCTGTCGTTGGCAATTTCTGTTTTCTGTGGCCTTAACGTCAAGTCAAGAATTTAGTTTTTAGGAAAGATTTCGGACATGATTGGCTTTATTTCAGCACGGCTGTAGTTTGAAAAATTTGTAGGAAATACCTTGTTCATAAATTATTGGAATTGCATTCTGTGCAGATTTTTGGAAGAGTTTGAAAATTGGGTAATCACCAGCAGCAACTTTACGGTCTTGACATTTATATTCTTGACAGCCATTTGTTGCACTAGCCATTCAGTTAGCCTGAGACTTATCTAGTACTGCAATGACAGGCGTCTTCGTTTGGCGGCGTTCGGCCGTCACTGGGGCCAATTGGAGGTGGTGCGCCGAGCTACAGCTACGGTCAAACCATGAGCCAGCAGGGCTTGCCTCTGTCTGCCGGCTTCAGTGGTGCTGGAGTGACAGCTGCAGCTCATTCAGCTGCTGCAGCTGCCACTTCAGGTGTTGGCGTTCCTTCAGGTCCAGCGTCACAAGCTAGTGAGTTGCCTCCAGGTTCCGACCCAGGGCTAAGAGAGCAAGTCTCGACTGCTGGCCCTGTTATGCAAGGGCCAGGCCCTGTTGACGATGCGACTCGATCTCCTAGGCAGTCTCACCTTGGGGGTGAGATGGTCAGCGATCAGAGGCATCAGCAGTCAGTGCTGACTTACCGTCAAGCTAAATCCCCCTGTAAGTCGACGTAGCTTCTATGCTGTAGCTCCAATCTAGCATGGATGTCCTCGTTACTTTATTTTGAACAGCCTTGTACGCTGTCCTCGCCTGTGTTACATCCTTGCTTATTCATTATAAAAGCTTGCTTGTCTGTAACGTGCATTCAGTTGGGCATTTTGCTGCCACTAGCATGCAAGGTAAGCAAATTGCCATTTTTGTTAACATTTGTATATAGTAAACCTTTCTGACATGCCCTTTGGCGCTCACGAAATTCACATAAATATCTTTAAATGTGACTTACCTCGAGCCTAAAAGGTGAGACGATGAGTAAAGGACGTTAATTTGGACGTGGCACAATAGTTTATCTAAATTCCCTACTAGACTTGACCTGTAATTCTATACATTCTATCCTTCTAGAAGAACCTTTTTCTGCTTAATCTTCGTCCATGTTAATTGTTACTTTCATTAGCCTGCTTTCCGCCGTAGCCTCCTAGACTCTTTGACAGCTGCATTTCTCTTGGTCCAGACTTAGTTCATATTTTGTTCGATAATCCTCGCCGATTTAGTCCACCTAATGAAAGCTATCTAAATCGTTGAGAACCTTGGTAAACTTTCATATGACTGAGTGACTAAATTGACCTTCGTACTTGGATGAATATATTGATAATAAATGATTATACATCTTCTAGTGGACTCGCAAGTAAGGTGTGCCCTGTTACTGCCGTAGTTTATCTTGCCTATTATTTTCACGTACTGGCGCTCTAGCTGACGCGATGGGCGCCTCCCGTTCCCCCACCCCGAGCCAACTGGCAGCCGCCGCGGCGCGCAAGTCGCCCGTGTCGGACGCCAGCGTCCAGGTCAGTCCGCAGGCCTCGAGGGTGCAGCAAGACAACCGACGCAAACCTCAGCAGCAGCAGCAGCAACAACAGCAGCAAAGACAGGATAGGTCAGTGCACAATGCCATCTTTTCAAAGTGCAAAGATGGTTTTTAATTGCATTTGCAGGACGGGATTCAGTCGGCAAGACTTGGCACATTCAGTTTTCTATGAATGCGTTTGAAAGTTAGCCGATTAATAGTGGAAAAGACGCTGGATTGCGTTCAGCGTTACAGCTATTCCAGTGTTATGAAATTCTTGCACTTTGAACGACATTTACATCGTCGTTGCCGTCCTTGTTAACCTCCTGCCTTGTATAGTTCAGTGATGTGAAATATCTTTCATAAAATGCCTACTGACGGCAGGTCTAGCATCTAGACGGTCAAGTTGACTTGCACTTGTTAAGAAATTGGAGATTCGTGTGAAACCTTTCGTACATATTGGCCGACATTAACCACTCGTATCAACAGGCCTCCCCGAGAAGGCCAGGGCGGTGGAATGGGTGGTGGTCGTCGGCAAATGGGTGGCAGCCAGAGTTACAACCAGGCCTACAATCATGGCTACAATCAAGGGTACAATCAACCCCAATTCAGAAACCAGTATCAAAACCAATACTATGGTGAGTGAAATAGCGGGATAATTGGCTGAAAATCTTGTTCTGGGATGTACTTATTCAAATGGCATTATTGGTCACATTTTATACATTACCCAGCGTGGCTTTCTTGGTGCACAGCACGAGTACGAAGCACGGTAGGTTGCATTTGTACGCTTTTCTTCTTCAGGGCGTGGCGGTGGCATGGGCATGGGCCGTGGTGCCGCTGGCAGCGGCGCCGGTGGGGGAGGAGGTATGAATCTAAACCGCGGAGGGGGAGGGGGAGGACGCAGGCCCCGTGGAGGTCCCGTGGGTCGTGGAGGTCCCGGCGGTCCCGGCATGTTCATGAACAATAATAGACAGCGCGAAGACAAGCGCATCTTCGAGAAAGATTACGACTTCGAGCAAGCCAACACCAGGTTCGAGGAGTTGCGCGTGCAACTGGCTTCAACGAAGATTTCTAGTCCTGGAGGAGCGTCTCAAGGAGCCGCTGAGAACGGGGACCCTAATGTTGTAGAGAAAGAGAAGAAAGAAGATTCTGGCACAGAGACTGGCCCTGGGGACGAAAGTAGCGCTGAAGATCAGCCAATTCCCTGCTACGATAAAACTAAATCTTTCTTCGATACCATTTCGTGTGAAGCCGTCGAACGCAGTCAGGGGTCAGTAATTTAATTCCTATTTATATACTATCTTAGCAAGTTTATAGTACTTTGAATCTTGGCGTCTAGTTTTTAAGGCATTCATTAAACATTCAATAACTAGTTTGGTGTGAAAACTAACTTCTAACATTCACAGAACTAATTCCGTTCACATGTAAGGTTAGAATTTGCTAAAGTTTCAGTAGAGTATTCATTATCGTTCATATCGCCTCCTCAGTCGCAGCCAAAGACCTGACTGGCGTCTGGAGAGGAAGATAAACCAAGAAACCTTCGGTGTAGCATCTGCTCGTCGAGGAAACTACTTCGGCCGCGGGCGCGGCAACTACTACAACAGAGGCGGCTTCTACCGAGGAGGCTACAACCAAGGCTATTACCGGTCAGTGCTGTGCAACGCTGGGCTCTCGCTGTAGCTCCTATTTTGCATCCTAGATTGTCAGAGATTATATCGTCCAGCACTGAAGCTATTGATGATGGAATCTTTAGCTTGGGCAAGATTTGTTGATTGGAATATATTCGTACGAGCTTTATTTTGACAAGCTGCTACTTAGCTTTGAAGCAATCGATTTAAATGCCTGAATTAAATCACAAAAGAAAACAACTCGTTGAGCCCTAGAGTCTATTCTACTGCAGCGTGTTCCAGTGTTCCCGTGTTGCATTTATTCTCCCGGGCGTCGTAATTACCCCTTGAAATAGCTACGTACTAAACGAAGCATTAAATGAGCTATGGTCTATCAAATTTTAAGAAAGCTTATGGCGTGTGCACTAGTTAGTCGCTATGAATTAGTCTCAGGAGATTCCTGCTCGTGGACTTCATTTATATAGTCGCGTTTTTTATTTATTTTTTTTTTGAACTTCGTAAGAAGTTCTAGCCCATTAACTAAACGCTTAAGTAAAGTATGAATTACGTTCTTAGTCGCTGCGTCGGCTTTTTGTTAACGTTTCAAATCATCGGTGGTTTCAAAAGTTGAACCACGATTCTAAAGTTAGTCATTCAGGGTCCCGAGCTCCTTTGCTTTTCAGCTTGGAATTTTATCTCGTGCAGTGTAAACGACAAGTTTTCCATACAGGGTGGACAACTTGTATACACCTTGCGTTATTTTGACCAACATTTTTATGAAGTTCTGGATTCTGGCTTCGGTCAATAAGTTTCTCTTGATTACAGTGGCGGTGGAGGTGGTATGGGTGGCCAATTCCGTGGGGCCAGAGGTGGCGGCCGCGGTGGCATCACGGTGAACGCGAACGGCGTCGGCAGATCAGAGGGTGAAAGCTCGTCGGGACAAGCGGCAGATTCCTCTGCGGCTCTGTAGTCTCCAGGAACAAAATGGGCGTCGGCACCGTATACTTAGAAGTTCTAACTGAAATTGCAATCCCTGAAAGAATTTGAATATGTTCTTTACATTTCCATTTTGTTTACTGATAAGTTTCTGTCAGAAACGATGTATTCGCTGAACCTTCTTCGTAAAGGTTCTTGAAGTTTTAATTTTCATCATAGCTAGAGAGAATTGCTGACCGAATTGAATAAAATGCTCCTCAAGAATTAATTAAAATAGATAAAAATCTGAGAGGAATGACGTGATCGTAATTAAGAAGGTATGGCCGGCAGTGATGCATGTATCAAGATTGATTTTGATGTAAGCAGAGATGAAATTAGAGATGGCAATGGAATGCGGAGGGAAGACTTAGTGATGGTCTCAGTTAACATGGAGCATGAGATAGCGAGAGACCGGTCAGTATTGAATCATTTCGGAATAATTTCGCAATTCAATAATCAGTTGTTAAATTTGGCTGTTCACGAAAATTTGAAGTTTGTTTTGTTCAGTCCACTCGATGATACCTACTAAATTATATTTTTACATTCAATAAATCAAAAGAACAGCGCTGTATTTTCTTGAATTCTAACCGTGTAACCTTTATCTGCTGCTGAACATTACATTCTAATAAACCCAACGAGACGCCACCGACTTAGAGAATGAAGGTCTGACACATAGAGCAAGCTATACTTCGGCCCCTTAAGATTCGCGATCAAAATGGAAAGGAAGAGATGTCAATCCGTGATGAACAGGAGCGATTATCCTTGGGATAGCTCTTCCTTCATAGATTGGCTCTTCAGCTCACAGTTCACCGTTTATTACACAAGTTTACGAAAGACGCGAATTTTGGTGCGTCTCTCGTCTGAAACATTGAGAGGTGCCCAATTAACAGCTTAGTTTGACGTTAACTTTCGCTGTAAATTTATATGGCCGTGATTCAGATTGACGGCATGAGAGCGCATTCGTGGTAATGTGTGCCGAGAGATCTCGATATCTCCTAATATCGATTGTGGGTCCCTGAGGAGTTTGTGATTACCAAACATCAGCAGTGACGTTAGACAATACTTGTGCCTCTTTGTAGATGGTTCTTGGTAATGACTTGAATTGAAGCCTACATCTATGACTTGATGAATTGAAGACTATAGCTATACAGTGATGCGGAGTGCTTATGGTATTTTCTTTCAATATTTTTACTGACAGGTAATTGAAACTAAGAGGGAATTGGAATATCTTTTTCTAATTGGTAACTTGTATCGAATGTAAAGCTTTCATTATCACAAAGCTTGAATATCGGTGCTTACCACTCCTTGATCTCTGAACACGGAATTCTGGATATGCTAAAGTGCTGACCATGTCTAATCTCGTCATCGCTTCCAAAAATGTACATTCAAATTTAAAGTGAACTAATAATTGCTGATGAATTCCACCTTCATTATCAAATACAGCATGAAATTAAAACTGCATTAGGTGAAATTCTACCCGACATGTGAAATTCCGCAGATGAAGAACCTCAAAGAAATGCCAACTGTTTCGAACCGACCCTGAAAAAATCGACTCTCCACTGACAAGTACCAGAGAAATTAGTTTCATCCGGGCTTCGCTGGGAGAGAGCTAGAGTTCGTCAAACCTAGCAAAACTTAGGTTTTGGCAAGTCTGGACTATTCACACGTGTCTGGTAAGAAGCGAACACCTACTACTGCGGTGATGCTCATTTTGTATGTCATTCTATCGAGTGAGAAAGAATGAAGTCGAAATTTCATAGTCTCATTTGTAAAGTTAGAAATAACTAAACGGCGAGTAACGGTGAAATATTTACGTCCTAAGAATGTCCTTCCGTTGGGCCTAGGCTTACTCGGATTGGAACTCTCCGTGAATAATTGATATTCCGTTCAAGTCTCGACTTGAACTGGTGAAGCGTTTACACGAAACCAGTGTTGGCAGCCAACACGACCGTCTACAACTCCCGTCATTAGGTAGGTACCGTAGGTATAGTTTCTCAAGTATTTCTTAAATGTGGCAGTCATTGTCTTTAGAAGCCGCATTGACTGGTTAGGTAAAAATTTCATTCTCGGCCATTAATTTTTCGCATGCCAGTCACCCAAATTTCACGAGTTCGGGAATTTCCCGAAGAAATTCGGGAATTTCATTCCTGAATTTCTTACGAGGGAAGTAATGTGAACCAATTTAGAGGAGTCGACCAACTCGTCTTGACATACTTAGTCAATGTTGATCTCATTTTTCACGCATGCAAGAAACGCCACTAATGCTTCGCGGATCTGAAGACCCTGATGACAAGAACTAACCTCTATTGACCATTGTTTAATATCCTAGTCGGAGAAGTGCACGATTAACGAATTGTACGTGGAATTCCAAGTGAATTATAACATTTGTAAGTTATTAAAATTTGCACCAAATTAGTCATTACCCCTTTACATCAAACCACTAACTTCATTCATTATTTTTGCCAGTTAGTACTGGACATTTATAGTGGCTTGCACAACTGGCACCGTGTAAAACACTAAGACTTTTCTTATAATGTGGTGGGTGGACATAACTTGTGTATAAAATGAAAGCATTTCAACTAGGAAGCGTCTGATATGGGCCACAGCTGAGGAGAAGTTTCTAGGGCCGTGTTTAGAGGCGGCAAATGACAACTTTGGGATAGACTTTCAACTCTGCTGGTGAATGCGGTGACCAGCTGGTCCCTGTATCGCGCCATTGAGTTGTCGGTGGTACGAGGATTGCGCACGCAGTCGTCGCCACCGAACTCGCACACGCGATAGTGGTGCAGGAAGGCAACCTCACTCGGCACGTTCAGGGTGCCTCGTCCCGGCAGGAACTCCCACACAAAATGGTTACCTGAAAAAATTAAGGTGGATGACATTGTATAATGGTAGAACATTTCATACGATTTGAAATAATTTAAGAATGAATCAACAGACTGCGTTTGTACTACGTTCAGTATGGAAATTAAGAAAATCCATATTAAGCGATTTAAAATATATACCTGCTTCAACAACGAAAGGGCTGACAGCAATGTACTTGGAGCGCTGTTTGTGTGGGTGGAAGCGCTGTCGCCTTCTGGTCTTCCTCTGCGTGACGAGAGCAGGCAAACCAGCGCTGTAAGAAAAACCACTCTCTTCACTATCGGAGCACGCAGTAAATATAGGCTGTTTTTTCTCTGTTCTGTGAATGCACACCATGCAAAGACTGTCCACTTTTTGTTGAGTATACACCAAGGTCTAGAATGTCATGCTGCTTGTGCGCCTGCTGGAAGCCTTGCAATGGGTATGTGTTTTGATAATACGAGTATGAGCCAAAATTCGTTCGGGAAGTACTAAGACCCACGATTACAGATTTTAATATCAATTCAAGTACTCGTAGCCATTATTTTAGACTAATTAGGAAAATCAGGATTTGAAATTACAGTTACAATTCCAATTAAAATTGTAGCTAAAAATTGCAAATTAAAATTACATACAAAGCTTCTTGCTTATATCGTCAATCTCCTGGTATTGATAATTATGACGTTTGCTCTAGGATTAGCTGGATTAGTTATCTAGTGCTATGCTTAGTTCACCCACTAGTTCATTACAGATTTTTCCAGCTACGAATAGTACAACAAAAAAAGATTTCTGGTGCTTGACATAATGTTAGATAATTGTCAGTGCGTTTCACATTTAGCCACCTCAACATCTGCGCGGAAATAACTTGCTACCATTACTGCTATAGACGGAGATTGTTATAAGCGAGTCTTAAACTTGGATTGTTCTGGGCACGAACAATCGAGTTAAAGTGCGAGTTCTGTGCACGATCTGCAGTTTTGCTATTTTAGAATCTTCGTGGTTTTTCTAACAAATATTGGCTCACCTGCTTGGATCATCCGGCCATTGTAAATAGAAGAAAGCGTTCTGGAAACTGATGGCTCCGATCTTACGAACATCCGCCCGCGTGTTGAGGAACGAGACGAGTTCAGGTAGCGTGGTGTTCGAGTGAGGTACGATGTACTCGTCCAAGTCTATCATAAGTATGTACTTGTGACGGTACATGTGTCGGTACAGGCAGTCGTTTAGTGCTGCGAAAAGTCCTTCTGTTCGAATTTCTTTCTGAGATTTAATATTCAGTTTCCACGGAAGTATTGTGACTATTCCTTGCTTAACATAGTTCTCTAGGACACAAGCAACCTCTGGTCCTATGGTATGATTATATAATGTGAAATGCTCAACACCTATCAATCGATTCAACTCAATAAATTCAATCATTTGATTTATATTATTATAATCGAAATGCAATGGCTTCACGCAAACGGCGAAATTATTTCTCTCCTCGGTATGATCCTTGTTGAGGTTGAGAACCTTGAGTTTGTTTGTGGCGTTGCCGCCGGGGTCCGCCATGATGGAGATGCTATCGGGGGGCGGTATGGGCTGCTTGCCGTTTGTGAAGATCGTCAGTGGGCAAGCGATGAAGCAAGCAGAGTAGCGCAAGTTCCAGTTTTCTCTAATAACTTTCACTGCCCCTACGAGAACAAGAGTACTCGAGTTCGAATACCAATACTTGCACCAAACTCTATCACTTCGTTTTGTCAAAGTTGCTCCAATGATGCGAATTATTTTGGCTTTTCTATCGTCATAAAATGCAGAGTAAACATAAAACTTGTGGCGAGCATTTAGCACAGGCATCCATTCAGCATCGACGGCCGAGCTGTTGGCCGTGAATAAGACGGCTTTTTCCTCCGTCAGCGACGGCCACGACATTTTCCTCTCTGCGGTCCGCATCGATTTCAGGTAGCTCCCCGAGACTCGTGCTTTGAGGCGAGATGCGTCAACGTTTTTATGTATAACGCCGTCGTCATTCTTGACGGACACCTCTTGGCGTCTATATGAATCAATTTGCAGTGCTCTGACGATCTTCTTGTCGTCTATGATGTAGTCCGGGATGTCGCCGATGACGTCGAACTCGTCGCTCCTCTTGCCCGACACTTGGATACCATCGTTGCGGTCGTCCATGAAGAACACCTCCGTCAGGATTATCACCACAAAAATTACCACGAAAAAAACTACGAAAAATATCGAAAGTTGACTTCGCTCCCTGCTGCGTTGTCGCATTTTCTTGGCAGCGGCCGAACGTCGCTGGCGGCTAAATTCGTTAAGAACGGAGTACCTGTGGGGGGAATAATAAGTAATTAACGAGTGATCAAGTGCCGCTCACTAATTGTTCTTGCTCTTTGGTCTACACTGTAGTTTGTTGCGACTGAGTGATTTAATAGTGAATAAATTCATACGACACTTAGCGATCAAATAGCAATTACTCACAGAAAACATTGATACTTACTTTGCATGCACGGAACGCCAATAGCGCATAGCTTCAGAACGCATAGTTATGCTCTCACGGCTTGCGCCCTTGAGGCGCATGCGCGCCGCAGAGCTGCTCCTCGCGGCGCTGTGGTGGTTGCCCAGGACTGCGCACGGGAACATGAGAACATCAGATATCAACCGTCATTCTATGGAATAATTTGTGTTAAGCAAAATGTGTCACGCATTGCATTATGTTCTGGGCGGATCTTTCTGAAAGGATCTGTTTCATCCGGGTATGAAAAAAAAATCATCGGATAATACGTAGTATTATCCGATAGAATTAAATTTGAATGTACATTTGACGAAAACTAAATACCATGTTGGTATTTAGTATCACATTATTTAGCACGGCAAAAGTACATAAGTACATACTTATGTTAATTATAATGTAATTGTTTTATATTATGGTACTGTATGATGCTAAATAAATGGCGATTTTGAAACTCTATCGCTACATTTTCCTCATTCCTGCCCTTGCGTTATTGTGACGCTCAGTAATATGGTTACAAAACTAAGGTAATCTTATGATTATTTTAGGTCAATGTGTCGAATCTACCAAGTAAATAGCAGAAACTTATATTCGTTCCATTATTAAAATTATACAATAAATGGAGTGCTTCCATTAATTATATTTACTTTAATATTTTTATAAATCTTTTTTTTTCTAATTTAATTCGTCTGTCGCTCTTTAATAATGTACTATCGTTGACTATGAAATTCGTAATGAAATCAGAATGGAAAATTTGCACACTGCGCATTTGCCGTTCCACTGAGCTAGTGTTGAAGAAGCAAGACGGAGATTTACACAACACTCGAGCTTAGACATCGTCGGATGTTGTGAGGAAACTGTTTATGGTTTGTGAACAAAGTTAATGCAATGAGTGACATGCACGTCTCACTGCTGGACTGCTGGATGCCAGCATAGTTAATGCAACGAGTGACATGAACGTCTCACTGCTGGACTGCTGGATGCCAGCATAGTTAATGCAATGAGTGACATGAGCGTCTCACTGCTGGACTGCTGGATGCCAGCATAGTTAATGCAATGAGTGACATGAGCGTCTCACTGCTGGACTGCTGGATGCCAGCGTAGTTAATGCAATGAGTGACATGACGTCTCACTGCTGGACTGCTGGATGCCAGCATAGTTAATGCAATGAGTGACATGAGCGTCTCACTGCTGGACTGCTGGATGCCAGCGTAGTTAATGCAATGAGTGACATGAACGTCTCACTGCTGGACTGCTGGATGCCTGCATAGTTAATGTAATGAGTGACATGAGCGTCTCACTGCTGGACTGCTGGATGACTGCATAGTTAATGTAATGAGTGACATGAAGTCTAACTGCTGGACCGCTGGATGCCAGCATAGTTAATGCAATGAGTGACATGCACGTCTCACTGCTGGACTGCTGGATGCGAGGGTAAGATGAATCAGTAGCTTGGGATGTCCTCAACAGCTCTGGGGAGGTGAGGGCTTCCCTCTCATCCCCTCGGTCGCCACGGCGGGAGAGGGCAAGCGAGGGAGATTTGGGGGGCCGTGGGGGGGCGACGCAGTTTAGACCACCTCCGATGTCAACGCAGACCTGCAATACGAGCGGCTGCGTGCTTCAAAGAAACTGTGTCAAATGATTCATTTGATTTTATATCATAGATTTGCGCAAAATAATTGATCACATCAGTTAAAAATCTCATCTTAGAATGTTCGACTTAGTTCAGTTCCACAAGTTTTAGCATAAGTTTCAGGCTTGCTCTACATTGTTTCATGCCGAAGTCGATCCAATATTTTATCGTATTTTCAACGTCAGGTTCTTTGGTGAATATTGTATTAATATCAGGCTTGGATAAAATCACGCAAGGTTGATGATCGGAAACAACTAGCTTTCTTGCTCTGCGGAGCTTCATAGAATAGAATATAATTGTCGGCACTGTAGAAATAGGCTCATGGCCTTTTGCCGATTCTTGTACTTTTCGTGAATTGATTCCACAAGGGATCCGGCCTTTGGAACCCGATCTTTCCATAACTGACGATTGATTGAGTGCTGGACTTATTGCTTGGTATGACTCACCTTTTCAGCGTAAGGTTCGTGGGTGATGATGCCCGTGTAGCTGGGCACGGCAAAAATAGAGGTGCCTCGAATCGAAGGTTCGAGCCCAACTTTGAAGGGGCGGGCCGGTGAGGACGAATATATGGACGGCACGATGGACGACGCCACGAGGACAGACGACACGTTCGAGGAGGCAGGCGAACTCCAAGCTGCAGACGACACTCTCGAGGAGGCAGACGAACTCCAAGCTGCAGACGACACACACGAGGAAGCAGACGAACTCCAAGCTGCCGACGACACTCTCGAGGAGGCAGACGAACTCCAAACTGCAGACGACACGTTCGAGGAGGCAGATGAACTCCAAGCTGCAGACGACACACACGAGGAGGCAGACGAACTCCAAGCTGCAGACGATACTCTCGAGGAGGCAGACGAACTCCAAGCTGCAGACGACACTTTCGAGGAGGCAGACGAACTCCAATCTGCAGACGACACACACGAGGAGGCAGGATTCGCCTGCAGGCGCTCCAGGGGGTTCGACTTTGCGAAGGATAATTTACGAAACAAGGAGAATATGGCGGCTACAGACGGAGAGTCTTCCGCCGAAGAATAAATCAGGGAAGAAAGAGATGGCGGATCTTGGTGCGATGGAGAAGAAATGATGAATGTTATGCGTTATCAAAAGAGTGCAAATTATACGCGGTCTTGACGCGCCGCGACCGAAGGGCTGCCGGTCTGCAAGAGAGCAAAATGTGTTTCTAAGTAAACAACAAGTCAAGGAAAATGTTGTCTAACGACATTGGTAAAACATTCTCCAAACAACACAAATGTTTTTGACCAATAATTGATATATTTACTTCCGTAAAGCCAACAAATTTACCATTGAACCTTACGACATTCACATCAACACAACGGATACTCACAAATGAACGTTAAATAAATCTATTGTAATAACGGAGTTTATCTCACATGTGATTTAAAAAATTAGCATCAAATACATTCCGAGCTGTAAGTATAGACCGCCGGCCAATGAATGCACAATGTTGGTAAAGTTTGCAGTCCACAGCCCAGACGGCAGACTTCACGGCTCACGAAATGTGTGATCATGAATGACAACTATTTCTAGAATCACGTAGTATCATCTTTATCTTTATTATAACACATAGTATATTATTGTAAAAAGTAGTATCATCTTTATCTTTATTATAACACATAGTATATTATTATAAAAAGTAGTATCATCTTTATCTTTATTGTAACACATATTATATTATTATAACACGTAGTATCATCTTTATCTTTATTAATTATTATAACACACAGTATATTATTATAGCACGTAGTATCATCTTTATCTTTATTATAACACATAGTATATTATTGTAAACTGCATGTTCGATATATTTCAATATATCGAACATGCAGTTCGATATATTGAAAAAACGAATAAAACAAATTCTCTGGTCTTCAATGAAACCTATTGTAAAAAGTAGTATGATCTTCATCTTTATTATTACACATAGTATATTATTGTAAAAAGTAGCATGATCTTTATCTTCATTATAACACATAGTATATTATTGTAAAAAGTAGCATGATCTTCATCTTTATTATAACACGTAGTATATTGTTATAACATGTAGCATCACCTTTTTCTTTATTTTCACACGTATAACATTTAGTATATAATTATAGCACGTAGCTTTATCTTTATTATAACACGGAGTATATTATAATAACATGTAGTATATTATTATAACACATATTATATTATTATAACTCGTAGTATCATCTTTATCTTTATTATAACACATAGTATATTATTATAACACGTAGTATCATCTTTATCTTTATTATAACACATATTATATTATTATAACACGTAGTATCATCTTTATCTTTATTATGACGCGGATTCATGATCATGCGGCATACATTAGCACTAATGGAAGAAAACGGAACCACCAGTTAATTAATAATTTATTAGTAATTTCTTAATAAACTTCAAAATTGTAGAAATATATAATGTGAAGAAAATTAAACGCGTTTTCGGACACGATTCAGCTTGATTTACATTAACTTCATGAACGTTTGCTTGACCGAACCGAACTTATTTTGAAGCTTACTCTGTGCTGCTCTCCTTTGTTCAAAAGCTCACCTCAAGAACCAAGGAGGAAATCCATATACATTGATCCCTCAGAGAATATTTTTTTATTCTATATAAAAAATAGAGTTGATAAACCATACATAAAATGAGAATTTTGTGCCTCGGATCAAATTGAGATGGAATGCAGCACATGCTGTGCTACATGTCGACTGCAACACACGTTAGTATTGGTGATATCCATACTGCAAAGATCGATGAAGTATTTCTCTGCACTCACAACACAACACGCACACCCAAAACATAACACGCACACCAAAAACATAACACGCACACCCAAACCATAACACGCACACCCAAAACAAAACACCCAAAACATAACCCGCACACCCAAAACATAACACGCACACCCAAAACATAACACGCACACCCAAAACATAACACGCACACCCAAAACATAACACGCGCACCCAAAACATAACACGCACTCCCAAAACAAAACACGCACACCTAAAACATAACACGTACTCCCAAAACTACTGCACTGCACACCCAGCGCCTTTGACACTTCACTTAAGCCAGTTTACAATAATTTTTTCAATCTTATTTCACCAAGCATTTAGAAGCGCATCTCTAATTTAATGCATGCATTACTCAGGCCTTAACCTCATTTGTTGCATTCAGTATTACAGACATGAAGCTATAATATTATATTACAAGCGCTGTTTATAATTTATTGCAAAGCTGTTGGAAAGACATGGCAGTTGCCATTACCATCGTAATTTATTATAAATATGCTAAAAACTTACGACATAACACACTTTGTTATGTGTAATCAAGAAAAAATTTGATCAAATCACATTCTATTTACTCTCACCATTATAGGCTATTATTAAATGCAAAACATATAGTGACGGTTTTTTTTTTTCACAAAATCTCAATCTTCTCATTTCAATAAATTTGTTTATGAGGAGATGCAATCATTGAAATTCTGCGGCAAGACGCAAATAGAAAAAAATATGTATAACTCAGTACTCCCTGCAGTGAGTGACAGAGAGCGCATTTTCTCGTCGATGAAAACGTGAAGTCACGGACGAACAGACAGACAGACGGACGGATGGACGGACATGACGAGCACAAAAGCGCATTTTTCAATAAATGAGAAAGTGCGCTAAAAAAAATTATAGCAATTGTTCAAGCTGCATGCAGTTCAGTCAAGTCATCCCTGTTAAGTGCAAGTGGCATGAATGGCATTACAGCGGCTCTGTATCTAAGCACAGCCTTGACACAGCTGTGCATGACAAGTCTCTGACACACGACGCTGCCCTATAGAGCAACACGGGCGTATTCCAACACGCAAGTGACGTTGGAACGACAAAGTTTGATTCAACGCATGTTTCAACGTTTAATTCAACGTTAATTCAACTGAAATTTAACGTTAATTCAACGTTATTTCAAAGTTAATTCAACGTTAAATTAAACGTGGTTTCAACGTTATTTCAAAGTTGATTCAACGTATAATTAAACATTAATACAACGTATAATTCAAAGTTGATTTTAACGTTGATTCAACGACAGATGAACCCCACACGACAAAAGTTTCCGAGAAGCAAACGCATCACTTTGTTCAAACCTAAATATTATCAATTACCAAACTTTTATGGTACATGTGGTCACAAGACTTTTTCTTGTGAATTCGGATGTAGGAAGATGAGATGAGTTTTCAGTAAACTGGTGACAACATATGGAAAGTATGAACCATTACTGAACATGGATTGTATCAATAAACATAAAAAGTTACAATAACTTATAACTTTACAACACAATTTGTCGATGAAATCAGACGATAGTATATAGCTCCCATGCTACTGCTTTGCCTGGCTTAAATACTCATGTGAACAATTATTAAACGTCCACCAAAAGTGAATTATACCAGGTCCACGTATTTAAGATGTGTGAGATGAAACTCAACGTGGCTAAAAGCTCAAGCAATTTGATATTAAAAATATTTTTTACACGACTTTTGATCCTCTCGTTGCAGCTGAATTTATTCATGCGCGCATTTAATAGTCCGAGAACGGAGGCGAGGGTAGAAATTGTCAACACATCCATTGCTCTTGTTGGTACTCCCGCTCAACTTGAAGGTTATGATGGAAATACGATGGAAATATGGATTTAATTAATATGATGGAATTTAATTAATATGAATATGATGGAAATACGGATTTAATTTGTCCACAATTCAGCAAGAAATCTTATAATCAAATTTAATTAAGTATGATTGTGATAATTTTTGGGACCATAAAATGTCCATTAAAGATGTCCAAAATGTTATCGCGTACATCAAACAATTAGTGTGATCTCCGGAAACTGTAATGAGACATTCCCTCTTACGAGCAATCGATTCTGCTCCATTAATGTTTGTAACGTAAATAAAACAAAAATGATTTTGAGCAGAAGCTTGGTTTAGAATAGAAGAGTTGGCACCGAAGAAATAGGCCCATTACTTTTATATATGTATATTTTTTCAAAGGTTATCTGAGCCTCACCTGCTTGCGGCATCACTGTTTAGCTGCACCCCATTGTTGACCAAGAGTCATGGTGATGTGATTCATGTCTACGGAGCGCACAGCACCACCACCTCACGCCGCTACGGCAAGGCGGCGACTGAGGGAAAATCAATGGGCGCCGACACAGAACTGCTCACGGGGGACTTGAGGGAGAAGTTCATGTTGAAGTCTATTAAAGCCTCTTTAATTTATGGTCAATAAATAATAATTGATGAATTATAATAAATAATATAATTATATCGTAATAATTTACGATCAAATAATTTCGGTTCCATTGATGGGACAGGTAAAAATACTACCTCGATTGCCTTCGCAAGTCTCGGACGAAGACATCATAAATCGCCGCCGAACGCTTCCGGTAAAAGGAAAAAGCCCTGAGGATTTTACACTTAAACGCGTTCCACTTTAAAAAAATATCATCTAATTTTTTCAACTCTTTGGAGAGGCTTTGAACATCAGACCCCACTTTTCTGTTAGTTACTAAATAATTCTTCGTAATTAACTAGGAGCTACAGACAATAGTAAACGATTAAAGCGTACATGCTGTTCAGTCAAGTGGTTAAATGTCAAGTGAATGATTAAACCAGCTTGTAATGAATACCTTCTGAGTCCTTCAACACGTTCAACATTCCATCGACAAGTGTTTTATCATCTTATGTTCATAAAAATTAATCGTTAACTTTTGTTAATATCCCAATTTTCTTGGTGATATATAATACAAGCTACATACGAGGTAGAACACAATACGTATCTTGGTACCAGCTACATACAAGCTACGTACGAGCTACAACATAACACACATCTTGGCAATATAACAATACGAGCTACAACACAATACGTATCTTGGTACCAGCTACATACAAGCTACGTACGAGCTACAACACAACACACATCTTGGTGATATAACAATACGAGCTACAACACAATACGTATCTTGGTACTAGCTACATACGAGCTACGTACGAGCTACAACACAACACACATCTTGGTAATATAACAATACGAGCTACAACACAATAAGTATCTTGGTACTAGCTACATACAAGCTATATACGTACGAGCTACAACACAGTACACATCTTGGTAATATAACAATACGAGCTACAAGACAATACGTATCTTGGTACCAGCTACATACAAGCTTCGTACGAGCTACAACATAACGCACATCTTGGCAATATAACAATACGAGCTACAACACAATACGTATCTTGGTACTAGCTACATACGAGCTACGTACGAGCTACAACACAACACACATCTTGGTGAGTTCGAATGTCTCAAAATTTTAGACGAGGTCAATACGAAACAATACGAGAGTTCGAATATTTCAAAATTTTATACGAGGTCAATACGAAACAATACGAGAGTTTGAATATTTCAAAATTTTATACGAGGTCAATACGAAACAATACGAGAGTTCGAATATCTCAAAATTTTATACGAGTTCAATACGAAACAATACGAGAGTTCGAATGTCTCAAAAATTTATACGAGTTCAATACGAAACAATACGAGAGTTCGAATATCTCAAAAATTTATATGAGTTCAATACGAAACAATACGAGAGTTCGAATGTCTCAAAATTTTATACGAGTTCAATACGAAACAATACGAGAGTTCGAATATCTCAAAATTTTAGGTTCAATGTTAGCCGATAAAAAGTGCACATCCAATAAATTAATGAAAAAAAATACGAACAAATTTCGAAAAATATATAGTAATTATACAAAAAAATATAACTCAGTACTCACAGCAGTGAGTGACAGAGAGCGCATTTTCTCGTCGACGAAAACTTGAGGTCACGGACGGACGGACAGACAGACGGACTTGGCGAGCACAATAGTGCATTTTTTCCATAAATGAGAAAATGCGCTAAAAAGGGACGTGAAATAAATAAAGAATGTGTGGACAGAGCAAAAGGTGCCGTAGGAATGCATTCAGTTCTATGACAAATGAATGACAACAGATTGAATAGTGGCAAATGAATGGCAATTTGAGGGAAATACAAGCAAAAAGTGCGCGAAAGGCATGTGAAATTGAAATATTTTTAGAATATTTCGAAATATATTTTTTTAAAGAAATGTTTAGAACTCAGAAATAGAGCAGGCGAGCGTTGAGAAATGGTGCAGAAATGGTGCAGGCAGGCGTTGGTGCAGGCGAGCGTTAGTGCAGGCAGGCGTTGGTGCAGGCAGGCGTTGGTGCAGGCAGGTGTTGGTGCAGGCAGGCGTTGGTGCAGGCAGGTGTTGGTGCAGGCAGGCGTTGGTGCAGGCGAGCGTTGGTGCAGGCGAGCGTTGGTGCAGGCGGGCGTTGGTGCAGGGGCGTTGGTGCAGGCGAGCGTTGGTGCAGGCGAGCGTTGGTGCAGGCGAGCGTTGGTGCAGGCGGGCGTTGGTACAGGCGAGCGTTGGTGCAGACGAGCGTTAGTGCAGGCGGGCGTTGGTGCAGGCAAGCGTTGGTGCAGGCAGGCGTTGGTGCAAGCAGGCGTTGGTACAGGCGAGCGTTGGTACAGGCGAGCTTTGTTGCAGGCGAGCATTTCAGGACAGCTGTCGCCTGGCAGTTGACTGCTCCACTATACCAGTCATTCAACATCAACATTCCATGTGCTAGGAAACTGTTCAAGATTTTCACTCTGCGTGCACCACTCATAACGTTCAAACTTATTTTTCCTTCTATTTAGGTAGTTATAAATGTTTTAATTGTTCAATTCATCTCCTTTAAATGCGAGTTTTTTTCTGTTTCATATTGGCATTCAAATGAAAACAGACAAACTGTGCTCAATACTCATAATAGTGAAGCATGGACACCGAGTTATCGTGTCACTATTTTTCTTTACTATAATTACATAATGAGTAAATTTTTTCTCTAATTGAATTTACTTTTGGCTAAATATTCCCAGTAATTTCATAGATTATCGACTAAGGTTGATGTTATTAAAAATGGAAAAAAATTAACTCGGCGAGTGATGTTCAAATCGCGTAGTCTGTAGCCCTTATGTTGACATTCAGACTCCATATGGACCGAGTTTAGAGTGGGCGGCCCACTCGAAATTGTTCAGCACATTGGCCCACTCCAACGTCTCATGAATTCAGCCCGCTCGAGACACATTAGTCCCGCAGCCCACTTTAAATTGCAATGTCTGCAGCCGGCAGCCCACTCGAGATGCAGGTACCCACTCAACACAAATCTTGCCCGCTACCAGCCCTTCCATTGGGCGGCCCACTCGAAGGCCCACTCCAACGCCTCATGAATTCAGCCCGCTCAAGGCATATTAGACCCGCAGCCCACTCTAAATTGCAATGTCTGCAGCCCACTCGAGACGCGGGTACCCACTCAACAGAACTCTTGCCCGCCATCAGCCCGCGTATAAGCGAGACGCGAAGGCGCGCCGGCCCAGACTAAGAGCCGACCACGCGGCGACAGCAGCGGTGAGACGAGGTGTGCTGTGGTCGTGACGTGCTGTGGTCGTGACGTGCTGTGGTTGTGACGTGCTGTGGTCGTGACGTGCTGTGGTCGTGACGTGCTGTGGTCGTGACGTGCTGTGGTCGTGACGTGCTGTGGTCGTGACGTGCTGTGGTCGTGACGTGCTGTGGTCGTGACGTGTGTGCTGAGAATCTCTCTAAGAAACAAATGCTCAAGTTTGATTTGCATTATTATATTATATCATTGTGTAAACTTCCTGTATTATATAATATCGTGAGTTATCGTAAGTTATGTCGAGGCGAACATTATCACACGTTGCATCATATTATGAAAAAACTTCCGGTGCAAGCATTAGCTAAGAGCTCATGCTTGTATATGTTATACATTATACAAGGTAAAACTTATACAAGTTATACCTTGTTAATTGGACTCATTCCGCAGCGCTAATTACGTGCAGGAAAAAACAAATTCTTCACAATTAATTTTAGATCGTTTAGCTTGTATGTTGACGTGAAGAGCTACGATGTGACATGAGTTTTGACTTTAAATTATTTTAAATTTCCTAATCGTATTAAATTAACTCCTTTTGCCTGATGTTTATTTGGCAGGCTTAAATTGTCCGTGTTGCATACGACGAATTTCCGGCCACATCAGCCCCCCTTAACCCCGCTTGCATGCATCGCATCTCAGGTTACAAAGAAGTGCTGTACTCAAGACTGCATTGAGGACGGCTTAAGTTGCAACGCTCTTCTCATCATGGTGAGTTACTGTCATTATAAGTTTTCAATTTTTTGCCATTTTCACATAAGCCACCAACTTACGGGAACACTACGGAGAATAATGTGCGTATAGAATCAACTATGCGCATCTGTTACTAAGAAGTGTGGCTAATTTCGTGTCGATATTGCACTATTATTCAATTTTTTTTCAATTTATGCTCTGCAGCCTGACCTTGTCTGCACATTTCTGTACCTCGGTGCATCTTTTCCAAATACGGCGCTGCTGCTTCAGTCGAGTATTTGCTTGAAAAACCGCGAAGTCGTCAAAAGGCGAAATATCGAGTAACTGAGTTTGCTCGCACAATCCCAGAACAGACACGGCGCGGTCATTTGAGAGCCTTTTGTTTACCTCTTCAAATCAGTTCAAAGTCAACTGCATCTTTTTCTGAACATCAAGAGATGAGTCGGCATTGTAGAGATTGGTGGTCCAACGCAAGGTGCAGTGTGCTGCCGAAATTTCCAATTCTTTTAGATTCTTGTGTGATGGTAAGCATCTGTGAATATCATATCAAAATGATCCAAGTTGATCTGCCTCATTGGGAAGTTATGCTGCAAAATTTCAAAATTTTCCAACGCTAGGTGCACTATGAAGCATAAATTACCAAATTCTTTTAGATTCTTTTGATGGTAAGCATTTGTGAATGCGATTGCAAGGAATTTAAAAGCAAAGAAAACGCCCAGAAAATTCACCATATCGATATTGAAAACGTTTCGGAGTCCAGCTCCATCATCAGTTCGACTAAACTAAAAATGAATAAAATCACTTTAAAAGTCAAAATTCAAAGACAGACAAAACCTAAACAAGACCTAACATTATATCGAAATAAACAGGACTAGTTATGAACAATGTTCATAACTAGTCCTGTTTATTTCGATATAATGTTAGGTCTTGTTTAGGTTTTGTCTGTCTTTGAATTTTGACTTTTAAAGTGATTTTATTCAATTTTAGTTTAGTCGAACTGATGATGGAGCTGGACTCCGAAACGTTTTCAATATCGATATGGTGAATTTTCTTGGCGTTTTCTTTGCTTTTAAATTCCTTGTGAACTTGCGATAAAAGCAGACTAATGATATAAGTACTGAATGCGATTGTTAGTGGCTGTTATGGTGTTGCAGCCGATAATCATCTGTAACGAGCTTTAACTAACTAGTAAATATATTGATTTAACTCAGCTATTTAAAATCGTGTTTCTTTAATATAGTAAATATATATGAGTTATAATTCGATAGAATCTACAAACGTTACATTTAGAAGGAAGGTACATAATATAACGCGTGCCGATTGCAAATTTCCAATAATCATATTATCAAATAATCGTTTTTTCGAGGAGCATCTGAAAATGTTCGAGTAGAATTAAAAAAATCAAAATGAAAAAGACACTGTCAAAAAGCCCTCGAAATAAGTAAGTTTGAATTTTTAAAGAATAACTTGTGCTTTGTTGACTTGTTATGTTTGTTTTCAACATTAAATCAGTGTTGTTTACGCGCAATTAAATGCAATATCGATATTTTCTATTCACATTATTACAACCATATATTATTTTAATTTTGATCTTCAAGAAGCCTTGTGCTTTGTTGACTCATTATGTATGTTTTCAACATTAAATCAGTGTTGTTTACGCGCAATTAAATGCAATATCGATATTTTCAATTCACATTATTACAACCATACATTATTTTAATTTTCATCTTCAAGAAGCCATGTGGTTTGTTGACTTGTAATGTTTTACAGTCAGTACCTTCAGCTGCCCTGATGCTGCTGCTGGCGTCTGGATCAGCCTTGGCAATCAATTTGGGTGAGTGATGAGGGCCTGTAGCTCGATCGCTGCTACTCTTTTTCTAAGTTTTACCAACGCAGAGAAGCGACATGCCCCCGACAACCATCAATCCTGGGCGAATCTTCCATCACTTAGCTAATTTGTTATTGTCGAGCTGAGCTCACAAGCATGCATGTCTCGTCCAATACACATGCATCTTTGCATGGCTAGATGGCTAATAAAAATTTTTCCTTTTTAGCGCATTTTCTCATTTATGGAAAAAATGCACTATTGTGCTCGCCATATCCGTCTGTCCGTCTGTCCGTCCGTGACTTCACGTTTTCGTCGGCGAGAAAATGCGCTCTCTGTCACTACTGCAGTGAGTACTGAGTTATATTTTTTGTAAATTAGGCGGTGTTAAGATAATTATGGGTTGGGTTTTAATTGTGATTAACGTTATCAAACAACGCCGAACAGTGGCTTTTTATAACGTCAAATAGAGGCTATCGACTACTGTTATCGAACCACGCTAATTATATAGGTTGTTCGACAACATGACATCCATATGTTGAAAGTAATCATTCCATGACATTCATGTTGAGAGTAAAAATTTAAATATTATTCCTAATAAAAATTTGATTGTTCTCATCCTGTTTTCCTGTGAATGAATTAAACTATCAAAACTATACTCTAAAAGTGATACGCTTATGCGCTCCAGTTAATTAAAGCAAAAATTTTTTATTACAATTTGATTTCATTTTTACTACAATTTGATGTCGCTATTAACTTCTAATTCTCTTTCACTTATTTATATTCTGTCAAGCTCGTAATTATCCAGCGGAAATAAGATAATTTCTTAAACACTCATCGCTTACTTAAGTTTCAGTGCGTATATCATTAAATGGGTAAAGTGACGTGTTCATTAATTGGGTAAAGTGACGTTTTAATTGCGTCACTTTATTGACGTAATTTCGTTACTTAATTGTAGAGTATTTAGCATGATTGGAGTCTTCCAACTCAATTTATATAAAGGATAAACATCGTCAGTTAAAATGTAAAAACTTGTAAAATTATGAAAATTGAGTTAATTAATTAAGTTAACATAATATTGATCTAATCTTCAGATATACCAATGAAAACTAAATTTCCTTTTTTTCGTTTCTATTGATGTTCTTAATGAAGAAACGTATTAGGTGTCAAGTTTTAATTTTTTTCACTTTATAAAAGTGTTTTATTGCACATGACGATCAGGGCCAAAGACACTATCACACCATATATAAAACTTCATAACGATAAGTGGCTTTATGTATTTACTTTAAAAAAATTTCATGATCACTTAATGCACATATGCGTATGTGTATTGTGAATATTTACTAAAGAGTTTGAAGCATTAGATTCTAAGCCTTCAACTGAGGTAATTTCCATTTCTAATTGATTTCTAATTACGAAATCAACTGTTCCTCACTTTGAAAACAAGATCATGTTGTTAGCGTTCACGTTAATGTTTGTTCTTTGAAGTCAGCCTGCGAAATAATCAGCTATTCAGTGTGTCACCAATTCATCACCAATTAATCCTGAACTTATATAAGTGCCGCACTCGGTTTTATACTCGCTCCCAATCATCTGATCCGATAATTGCTAATTACACTGCAGAATTTTGTGCCTCGGTTGTTGGGGAAGTTCGATAGCTGAAAGCGTTTCTTTAACAATTGTAATATTTCTCTTAAAATTGCAATCGATTGATATTTTTTTACCATTTTTCTAACTTCCGTTGCCTAATTTTTTCGCAGGTTTAGGGGAAGTAAAACATCCTAATGGTTTGACCATTTGGAACGTGAACTGTTCCCTGGAAGAGCTCTATCCTGGCCCCGAGTGCAACCAGTTTTTCATGTGAGTCTCTATAAAACAATGACATCTCGTGTCCTGGCTAATACAATATCATATCTGCACACTTTAAGTGCAACACGACCCACCGGTATAAAATACGCCCTGAATGTGACATGGTCGCACTTAAAGTGTTAAATAGGTCTTGAATAGGTTCAACTGTCTCTCTTCAAAATTTCCGGACTATGAAACATATTTCAGTCATTAATTATTTCTAATGGCGTTAGGTGCGTGGATGGACTTGCCAACGTTCGTCGGCTGGTGAGGTTCTCCTGTGGCGCTGGGACGGCTTTCAGTCCAAGGTCCTCCGTATGTGTCCACTCCCCTAGCTGCGCTCCTGGAGTCCCAGCGACGCCACCACCTTCAGGTCCAACAACGAGTTCTGGTCCCGAGGTACAGGGAACACCGGGACCTGTTCAACCGAACATTAGTGTTCTACCGGGGCCTATTCCCCCACCCGGTGTGTTTCCACCCATTTTCCCACCACAACCGAACTTCACCGTTCTACCCCCTGCACCCCCAGCTGCAGTTGTTCCTGACTCGACCACCGATGAACCAGCCAGTGAACTGCCAGTCGGGCCCTCCGTCAGTTCAGTAGTCTCTGTTGTGGGTGGTGCTGCTGAGGAGGTCTTGCCTCCGGCTGCCCCGCCATTGGAGGACCTCAAACAATTTTCTCCTCTTAGTCGTCCGCTAATTAACTTGGATCGTGAGTTTGTGCCGACATGTTACTGCTACTGAATTTAAAGTTGTTGCTGAATTGGTAATTTGCTTGATTTTATATTGCAATTAAATTTTGGCATATTTAGTAAATTGGCACTGCAGTTCTCAAAGCAGTGTTTGGGACTAAATGACTTTTTGTGGGGGTAATTTCTGTAAAAAATGCCCAAATCAAACCCAAATACAATGTTAAATTGATGTCTATGCTCACCCAATGGGATGATACGTTTGTTCCAACGGGCGAAACGTAATTTAGTGAAAACATTTTTATGAAGTAAATAATACATATAAACTCATTCATGCCCTGGACCTGTTCGCGTCTCTCCTTTAAATCCCTATAGAACGCGTACCCATTTACCCCTTTAGATCGCGCTTACCACAGTTTAGGAATCTCTGATGTAAAGTCATTGCCTAACGTGCATTACGCGATGCGTGTTGCTTGATCTAAATTCGCATCATTACCTGAAGCGTGATTTAAATTTGTTTGCAGCCTCGGCAATCCTCTTCTTCGGGAGTGATGATTCCTTTGACTGCCCCCAATACCAGGTAAGTATCAGTTACCCATCGTCATGGGTAACTAATGCGAATTCCCGTAAACTGAGGTTTATGACTTATATACAAGAGAATGAGAAATCGTGCATATTTTCTGCAGTCGACTTTAATTATTCAGTCGGGCCACAATGTTAACTGATTGAGAGATGTAAGGTATTAATGTAATCTCATTATAGAAATATTAAAAAGTTAAACGAGGTACAACGAAATTTCATCACAAAAGAATTTTACACAATAATGTGAAATTAACTGTCTTACGTTTCAATTGAAATCTTTTGATTACTTTTATGAACAGCTCGACGAGACGAGTTTCGTGAACTGCACGAGAGAAGGCCGGTGGGAGCACACGGGAAGTTGCCAGAAATTCTTCCAGTGCATCCACACCATGGACTGCATCGTCAAGGGTAACTGATGCAATAATCATCCACTCCATGAACTGCATCGTCAAGGGTGACTGGTGCAATAATCATCCACATCATTAACTGCATCTTCAAGGGTAACTGATGCAATAATCATCCACACCATGAACTGCATCTTCAAGGGTAACTGATGAAATAATCATCCACACCATGAACTGCATCGTCAGGGGTAACTGATGCAATAATCATCCATACCATGAACTGCATCTTCAAGGGTAACTGATGAAATAATCATCCACACCATGAACTGCATCGTCAAGGGTAACTGATGCAATAATCATGCGCACCGTGAACTGCATCATCAAGGGTAACTGACGCAATAACCAACCAAATATATGCTGGGAACCGTTTATTTTTTATTTAAAGACAAATGCGATTGCTTAATTCTGCATTATTGAAATGTTTTTTCCAAAGGCTGTGCAGAATTATTACATGAGCCACCTTATACGAATTCTTGCTTTATCTTTGCTCAAAACAAACATCACATGTTAGGCTATAGACATGAATTATTATTTTCCTTATCAAAAATGCCACGACTCTAAATTTCGTTTTTCAAAGCGGGTATCGTGATAGTCAGTTATAACTCAAGTGAGAACTCCCTGCTCAGCGCTTCAGTTTGCAATTGTAACGAGCATCCGTTTGCACCGCACAGGTTTCCAGTTCCGCTGCCCGGCCGGTTACGTGTTCGGAGCTCAAGAGAGTCGCTGTGTGCCTCAGCAGAGTCCGTGCGAGAAGCTCGAGCCTGTGCCGTCCGAAGGATCCTTCGTGTTTCCTGTCATCCAGCTGGACGAGGACGGTCTGCAGGACTTCGAGGTCGCCACGGTCTACTGGGACTATATGCCCTTCATTGCTCAGGAGACCTATGAGTGATTCTTAGCCATCGATGCGGAGTACGTCAGGAGCTATTTGCAATGCGTGAACTAACCAAACTGCAACTTTATATAGAGATAAAAGAGATAATACATAATTTAAATAGGAAGTTCATCGTTCTCACTGTATTAGTTACGTAAATCGTAATTTCATGCGAACACAGCTCGCCTCACAATTTTAACCTAAAAATTTCAGACCCGGTTTGTCTTACTTTTGATTCTAACGGCCGGACAGGCGGCAAAGGGTTTTGATGGGCAAAACTTCATATAATATATAGATTTTACATGTTATTCAGGGACTACTCAAACAGGGAGCTCTTTTAGCACATGTAATATCAATGTCCATGGTCATAGCGACGTGCTTGAATCGTTGAAACGCTTTTTTGTGGCATTTTAAGACCTTTATAGTTTCGCTTGTAGCTTTCTTAGTTTGTTTCACGGGCTAATTATTCTTAACTCTGCTTAACTCTTTGCATCGTCTGCTCGACCGCAGTTGCCTGTGTGGTAGCAGAACTGTTGAAGTACACATTCGACCTAAAACCTTCAGGTTTATATTTAAATTGGTTTACGTTCAAGCAATGAGGCAAGCGTGGATTCCACCTCTGCGAAAAACTTTAACGCAACACTACGAAGTTCAGCTCTTTCCTGCATGATTATACTCACGGTTAAAAGCATTTACTCTGATTGTTTTCAAGGAGTATCGAAGAATATCGAACAAAAAAGTTATTTCTAAAAGCAAACGTAACTAAAAAATTAAATTCTAATTTGTATCAAACATTTTTCAAAATTTTAAGTATCGTTGATAATTTCTGAGTAAAATAGCGGTGATTAGTTTTTGTCGAAAATGTTACACGCCGCTATTCAGGATATTATTGTGTTCAAGTTCGCCCTATGAATTTGGCCTCAGTTTACACTGCTTTCCAGCACATTAACTTTTGTTAAATAAATCTACTGCTGTAAATCTACTAGATCAGTAATGAAAATTTCTAATTCATAATTTACTTTACAATTTTATACAATTCGGAAAATAGTTTTGCTGTCGCAGTGCAAATTCAATTAACTAAGATTCACGCCCCTGTGCAGCTTCTTCGGAGCAATAAATCTGGTTTGCAATAGTGATTTTTTTTAATAATTATGTTAGAACATTAGGGTCTTGAAACAACTTCGCTGTTGGCTTCTTGCTGTTTGCTGCGTAAGCTCAACAATGAATTTTCTTCAATTTCTATGAGATTTATCCACTCTTGACTCACTGCTTGAAGCATTTTCAAAATATATATTTTCCTATGCAAACTAATTACAACTAATACAATTTGTCCGCTTTTTTAAGACTAACCAATAGGCGCCAGGGTAATGATTATAATGCATGCAGGTATTAATTAAAAAGTTGATTGGTATGGCCTTGTTATTTACTTGAGCCCTTATAAATGCCTCGGTTTACAATGATCGTCACATATGCCCAAAAGATCAGAGTATTCATGCAAGGCATGGTCACCTGAAATTAACAACTCAAATAATATTAATTATTAATAATAATTAATAATAATAATGTACCGGCTGCAGGGAATATATTTGTGTCTTGCGTGCTGAAACTTTCTGCAATAATTCAAAATAAATAGTGCCAGTTGGAGGCAAGATATTTAAATGGAATTTGTTCGACTTGTGAGTGCAAAATGAGAAATTAAAAGTATTTAGATGGTGACGTTAAGTTGATTAAGAAAACAAATTTAAAAAAGCGACTAATGAAGCTTAGGCGTGACCGAGAATGCGAGAAAAGCTCATTGAACTAAATAAATAAATACACAGTGAAACAAATTAGCAGTTGCTTGTCTTCCGTAAGAAATACATCTTTGGGTTCTTCAGAAGACATGCACTGCGGCGCAGGGTAGGTTAGACTTTTAAGCGCATTTTCTCATTTATGGAAAAAATGCACAATTGTGCTCGCCAAGTCCGTCCGTCTGTCCGTGACCTCAAGTTTTCGTCGACGAAAAACTGCGCTCTCTGTCACTCACTGCAGTGAGTACTGAGTTATATTTTTTAGAGTATCACCTGATCTAAGAGAATGCCTGTAATGAAATAATGCCGGTAATCAACAGAAAGTTAAATTCCTAACATTTTCTGTACCTTATCCACAGAGCTCATAAAAATGTTAATTAATTACAATTCCTTAATTATGGCAAAATATTAATTCCTTAATATTGGCAAAATAAACAATAAAAAATTCGTTTTATCAACGAAATTGGAAAAATTTCTGATAACGAGCTCGCTCTGAATATGAAATTGTTCAGGATAAACGAGTCAAGCTTTGTTTTGCCACACATGACGGGTAGAGCTTGCCATGCTGCAGCAAACGACAAGCGTTATATGCATCCTTCTTTTAAACGCATCCTCTCCCTTGGGTACTTTAAATAATACGAGTACACTACTACTAATGCATCCCTCTGAAGGGAGAGTGCATGAAAAACATTTAATTTAAACGCATTCTCTCCCTTGGGTATATCAAATAATACGAGTACACTATACTAATGCATCCCTCTGAAGGAGAGTGCATGAAGAACATTTAATTTGATACTACTTTTTTGTCAGGCCTTAAAGCGCCTTGTTCAGTCAGCGTTCTGGTGCACGTTGAACGTAAGAAGCATAAAACCAAACAATCTTCGTTATGGTCTACAAGCAACAACATTTTTACTTTTTTTTAATTAACAAGGAGCTTTTTCGCTCGTCTTATATCCATGCGTGCTCGAAATATTCAATTGCGTATAATTTTTATAAATAATGCCGAATTTTAAGACATTTAAATATACCTTATAGCTAAAAAGTTCCCTCATTAACTTAAAATCCCACAGTAACAATTTTGGCAGATTTTCGAACTTATTTATAACTAACTTGATGGCAATCCCTAAACATGAGCAATTTCTCTCCAACAATCACAACGCCTTAATGCATGGGAAAAAAGTACTATGAGCATCTGGGAACAAAGTACTCCGCACATCGTAGTATGCGTGGGAACAAACTACGATGCGTGAGAACAAAATGCTATGAGCAAACTCCGCACATCGCATCTTGTTAATAAGTATTGAAGAACCAGTCATCTCGTTAATAGGTATTGAAGAATAAGGCATCTCGTTAATAAGTATTGAAGAACCAGGCCAAGTCTTCGACGGTGAGCTCCCTGGCGGGCGCGAGTCTGAGGTGGGCTGGAGTGGGGCTCTTAGTGCACGTGGGCAGACGCTCCTCCTTGTCGCAGCGCTTCTTGTCCTCTGAGTAGCCGTACTGCTCTGGGCACTTGTACAGCAGCCCTGTACAACGCAAGAGTCACCATTAGTACTGCTCTGAGCACTTGTACAGCAGCCCTGTACAACGCAAGATTCACCGTTAGTATTGCTCTGGGCACTTGTACAGCAGCCCTGTACAACGCAAGAGTCACCATTAGTACTTTCTGTCGTACTGTTATGGGCACTTGTACAGCAGCCCTGTACAACGCAAGTGTCACCATTAGTACTTTCTGCCGTACAGCTCCGGACACTTGTACAGCAGCCCTGTGCAACGCAAGAGTCACCATCAGTACTTTCTGCCGTACTACTCTGGGCACTTGTACAGCAGCCCTGTACAACGCAAGAGTCACCATCAGTACTTTCTGCCGTACTGCTCTGGGCACTTGTACAGCAGCCCTGTACAACGCAGGAGTCACCATTAGTACTTTCTTTGGACGTGTGCACTTCTCAGCTGGACAGCAAAACGGCTACCCTTTAACCAACAGCGTTGTAGCGTGCCCTTGTACAACAATTTAATTGTAGTGTGCCCAGGTACAACAAGTTGTAGCGTGCCCTAGTACAACAAGTTAATTGTAGTGTGCCCAGGTACAACAAGTTATAGCGTGCCCTGGTACAACAAGTTGTAGAGTGCTCTGGTACAACAAGTTGTAGCGTGCCCTGATGCAACAAGTTGTAGCGTGACCGGGTACAACAAGTTGTAGCGTGCCCTGGTACAACTAGTTGTAGCGTGCCCTGGTACAACAAGTTGTAGCATGCTCTGGTACAACAAGTTGCAGCGTGCTCTGGTACAACAAGTTGCAGCGTGCTCTGGTACAACAAGTTGTAGCGTGCTCTGGTACAAGTTGTAGCGTGCCCTGGTACAACAAGTTGTAACGTCAACAAGTCCGCGATAAAAATTACAATATTAGGCTATGCTGAATAAAGGAGTTATCATTCATGTTCTCTTAAGCGCCGCGTATGCGTTGCAATGTTTTCTCACCCTTGAGGAGTCCGGAGTCGAGCTCGACGCACTTGTAGAAGCGGATGCAGTCGCCTTCGAAGGGGTAGTAGCCCTTTGCCGGGCAATCGTACAGCGATGAGGGGTCAACCTTAAATTCAGAGGACAATTAGTCAGATTGTATAAGAATTAGTTTAAATAAATCATACTGGTTTAAAATTAATTCTTTAGGATATCAAAGTCATTATTTTCTAGGATTGGTTAATCTTTCTTACAAACGATATGGCGATTTATTAATAACTTGTGAATGAAAACAACTAATTTTGAACTAGTCCCTATCAGCCTTATGGGAAATGATATTGAGCGCTTATTTCTATTACATTAGTTACTTCATAATATTTAGGAATCGTTTCAAAGTGAGCCGGAATTTTGGTATCTTATCAAGAAAAGGCCTTGTCGCAGAAACCTGATTTACAACAATCTAAAAACCCATTTTAATTAATACCTACTCTAATTACTGCTGTCATAGTTAAATCCAAATGAAAAATTTTTGGAAACGAGTACATTTCTCTGGCTGTGGGTTTTTCTTATCCTTAAAAGAATGGTAGACCGGAATTATGACAACTGATTTTGCTTGAGTGCATATGTTCCTTCCCTGATAGCTCAAAGCTTTACTATGAAATAACTTCACAGTTTTACTTGCTGCTTCTGAAGAGATAGTCGCGAAAACTAGATAGGTACTCAGGATGTTGAACCATCCTGTACATATGTCTGTCCTATGTTATAATTACTCCCGGTGTTTGTAGAACATTCCTGTACATATGTCTGTCCTATGTATGCATTACTTACTCCCTGTGTTGTAGGCGAGTCCTCAGTTGTGGTGGCGTCGGTGACACTCGTGGAGGTGGTGTCGGTTCCATCGCTGCCCTCAGGCGTCGGCTCTGGGGCGATTTGCCCCGAGCACGTCGCAATGGTGGCTGCAAATCAACGAAAATCTAACACTTGTCTAAGATATTTAAATTGTTTTAAATCATCTGGTCTGACAACATCCCGCAGAATCTTTTACTTACAAGACTGTTTCTAAAACTTTTCGTGACCATTAATTGCGTAAAGCTCACCAGGATCTGCGCAGTTCTGTCCCGCCTCGTTGAAGATGAGGCCTCGGGGACACGTTAGCATCGGGAAGACCCAGTCTGAGCCGTCCCATTGGCAGCGGTAGTATCTGATTAGAGTCAATTGCCGCGTCAAAAAAAGGTGTAAAGAAAACATTCCCACCGTAATCAAACTATCACTGGATAATTTTTGATTCATTATACGAGAGGCAAAAGTGCTGTATGCGAGAACTAAAAGTGTTTCTAAAAATTCCTCATGAAGCAAGCATTTACGATCGATAACAGTAAAATCACGTTCATTGATTAACTATGATTTAATAATGATTTTGGTCTGTATCATGCGGGAGGTATTAAAATACAGACCTGTTGCAGTAGAGGGGATGGCGGCGGTAGGCTTGCCCCGAGAAACACTCCAGAGTGAAGGGCATGGGTGGGGCAGAGCCATCTGTCACAGGGGGTGAAACGGGCCCCACTTGTCCTCCACCTTGGGGTTTAAAATAAATATAATGCAAACGATCAGTAATGCCATACCGTATAAATATTTTTGTTCACACGACTTGGTGGCTCAGTGGTTACAATTCAGAGTACCAAGATTGGCGCAGGGAGGCGCGGGTTCGATCCCAGCTCTGTGCGCCAGTTTCTGGTCAGAATCGGCTAGGAGTCCGGGTGGTTAAGCAAAGCAAATTGAAGCAGTGAGTGGCGCGTTCGAGACTGCAACAAGCTGTGAATATTATGCGATGTTAAGAATCGGCCACAGGCCTACGTCCTGATCAATGCTGAAACCGCTATTATTATTATTATTATTATTATTATTATTATTATTATTATTATTATTATTATTATTACTATTATTATTATTATTATTATTATTATTATTTTATCATCATTATTATTATTGTTATTATTACTATTATTATCATGAGGACTGACCGGGTTGAGGGTAGCCCACTCCGGGTGCCACAGGGGGTTGAACAGGTGGCTGCGGAACGACTCCAGTCCCTGGTCCATAACCTCCACCACCAGGCGCTCCACCTGCTCCAGGCGCTCCACCTGCTCCGGGCTGAAGAGGTCCTGACCCAATTGGTACCAGGCTGGAGGCCAGCATATACTCGCACTCTGGTCTCTTAGGTACCACCCAGGCGATGTGACTGCAAGTGTCCAACTCGTCGTCGAAGATTGTGCCGAGTGGACAATTGAACTGGAAGACGGTGTAGGAAGACCCGGTGCCTGTCCAGTCGACGCAGCGGTAAAAGTTCACGCACGAGCCCGGAGTTGGGAAGAACCCAGGGTACAAGCATGTAGGAATGGACGCGGGGGAAATGTTCCCAGGTACTACTATTGGTGTCTGTGGCGGCTGGGTTCCACTAGGGTATCCTTGCTGGGGAAAACCAGATGAGGTTACCGGTGCTGGGGAAACGGGTGGGTAAGTCCCAGCAGGCACTGAAGGTGCTCCTGATCCTCCGGGTTGTGGGTACCCAGCAGGAGTCTCTGCAGGACCTGTTGGCTGTGGGTATCCTCCGGGTGCAGGCTGCCCGCCTACAGGACTTTGTCCGTATGGGTCCTGGCGCGGTCTGCCCCACAGCGACTGTTGACGAACTCGGCGCTGGCCCAGCTTGGCGCCGCGAGCGCGGCCTGCGAAGTGACAATGGGTTTCATGATTTATTTTAAAGATTTGTGCATTTTTCTAAAATTCCAAGTTGATTAGCACTATAAATTGGTCAGGTGATCTGTTTTTGCGTTTTTTTCGTAGTCTAGATGGTTTGCGTAAAATTGTATCTCATTTAAATTTAAACATCGTTTGGAAAATAACCTAAAACAAATATTTGGATTCAAATCATGACAACTTTAGATGCTGGCCTTGCCCATAAAAAAGGCATAAAATGTTTGACGTTTTGACACGTATTGAAGGATTTAGGAGGCATGAGTAAATTTCGAGAATATTTTTTCTGCTCTAACTTGTGCATACCTTCAGCAGCTGCCACCGCCACCAGAAGAATGAATGCAAGAGTTTTGTTCATGTTGTCGCGATCTGCAAAGAAAAGCGAAGACTGATAGCCACGTACATAAACATATATAGATTGCGGTGACATGTTATCTCATAATGATAGTGTAAACGTTTGTGGCCGGAAGAAACTTTTGCCATGAAGGATATAAAGCATAACATATCAGTTATGAATCAACTTATCGATGAATGAATACATGATAGGGAGCTGAATTATTTATTTAATGCATTTTATATGCAGCTGATCTTGGCTCCTTTTCCTTCTCATTCAGCGACTCTTTTAAAAATCACCTATTGGAAAGATACCAATGATGCGATATCAGAGAAGCAGTAACGTGGTTATCATTCATAATTATGGATTACTCTCCGTATCAGCCTATGGTTGACGATGTACAGTATTGCCTTATTTCCCGTGTATTTTTCTGTTTAATATAGTTCTCCCTGAATAAAAATTGTTATGAGGAGAGAAAACGTGGAAGTCTACGGTATTGCGCAATTTCTATTGAACATTTCAATGACGCATCCCCATAATTAAAATATCCAAATCTTAACACTCATATTGTCTTCGGTTGCTTTCGGCTTAGTGCTCATTCATCTCCGAGAAACGATTGTAATTATTTCCTTCTAACTGCCATGCATAATTCAAGCGTGCAAATAAATTTTGTTTCCGTCGGCAGACGTGAAAATAAATTTGTTTTCATTACATGAATTAAATTTTCTTTGTATTGATAAGAGAGTAACTTGCATTTCCTGAGTTTAAAAATATTGTATGTCCTGCACTGTCTTTAAATTATTTTTCATACCTAATTAGTACAGTACTATAACATACTAACAATCCAAAGTAAGAATTTAACCGCAAAGAAATGAAAAATAAGATGTATTATTTATTCCTGAAACATTTTGGAGACCAGATCCATCATCAGTTCAAAAATTTTACACTGAACTTTTGACCTGATGATGGAGTTCTAAAAAAAGTTATTTTTAAAAAGTCAATTTTAGAACTGATGATGGAGTTCTAAAAAAAGTTATTTTTAAAAAGTTAATTTTAGAACTGATGATGGAGTTCTAAAAAAAGTTATTTTTAAAAAGGTAATTTTAGAACTGATGATGGATGAAGTCCTCGAAACGTTTCCATGAACATCTTCGGTATTTTTTTTGCTTCTCGATCAATGATCTATTTGTGATCTTGCGATTTAAACAGACTGATGATTTGAGTACTTATTAACATATACAAACAATATTAAATAACGACGAGCTTGTAATGAAATGCCTCCCAGCCCATGAAAGGACATATATAGTCATTCCGTTGTCACAAGTAAACTAGCGGAACTCTTTTCAAAGATCGTTGTGTATGAGGAGGCACACGTTATTCAGCAACGAGATCGGCTAAACTTGAAACAAAAACGGCAATCATTTGCCATGCGTCTGTGACAGACGCCGACTGCATGTATGGTTTTTCTTGTGAGTGACTCGACTCATCTGAGTCATGCCTCGATTGCCGTCCCCGGCTCGCGACCGGGTTAGAGTTGACTGACTTGACTCATCCGAGTCATGCTTCGATTGCCGTCCCCGGCTCGGGACCGGGTTAGAGTTGAATGACTTGACTCATCCGAGTCATGCCACGATTGCCGTTCCCGGTTCGGGACTGGGTTCGAGTTTAGTAACTCGACTTATCCCAGTCATGTCTCCAACTCCCGTCCCCGATAAGTAACAGGGTTCGAGTTGAGTGACTTGACTCATCTTGGTCATACCTCCGCCTGCTGTCCCCGACTCGGCCCAGGCCTTCAAGTTCCAGTCAGTAAACAAATTGAACAGCAAGAAGTGTGTGTGCCCTAGACAAAGAAGAGTTCAATTCCATTTTTACCGTTCCACCCGTTCGTTTGACACCAGAATTCAATAGCACGTTGTTCTCAGTAGAGATCTGAACGAGTTCATCCATATAGTGTCTCTTTCTATCTTGATAAATTGTGTATTGTTATAGATAATGAGGCAGAATACGGTCTAAGTTCGAAGAATACGAGGTCTTCAAGTACGTTGGCTTGTCGTCATACAGAACGGACGTAGGATTTTGAGCTTTCCGCTCTGCCAATATTGGCTCTATGCCTGAGTACGTTACATCAAAAAAAGGTGGTTGTAGCCAACGGTCGATGAACGACGAGTGTTTGCACCATGCACCAGCAGCAATCATGCGTGGACTTAAAATCAAAGCTAAAGGATACTTTTTTACAATTTTCACGCACAGCGAATCTCACTCATGTTCAACGCATGTTAACCTCATGTTAACCTTAAGTTCAACCTCGTGTTAACCACTAGTTGAACCTTATGCTAACCGTACAATTATTACCAGAATTATTGATTTTGGTTATTTCATTTACCTACAAACGTACCGTTATAACTTGAAAATAGTGAAGAAAATTTATCCGGGATATTTGTGCATGATGATACTAGGTCTCAGCACTGCACATATATAGAATCGGATAAAGAGCGCAAACATCATTGAGAACGAGCAGAAATCAATAAATTTACACACTTTTACGAATACGATAAATAAGATTGGCCGATTAGAAACCTCAACGTAAATTTCGGAACTGACAAGTTAGATTTCAATGGATGTTTTCAGGAAGTAACTGCATGTGAGATGCCAAGTAACAAACTCAGACCACATCGAGATTGGCTCAATAGACGTAGTCTGAAGGCCTAGTTACATGGATGAGATGACGTTGAACTATGGCGAAAAATATTTAGAGAACTTAAGCTTCGACCGAGGATCTGTCAAATAGAGATCATGAAATAACAGCAGAAAAGTGACCAAAAAATAGATGGCGTCTGCCTTGATCAAGATTTCGTTGAATAATGATACCCAAACAACAGATATTGGGCGTGATGGAAAATCCGTTTAATTGTAATCGGTAAATATCAAGGCAGCTTGCGTGGTCGAGGATTCACTTCTTCCCAACTCGCCTCAAGATTGTCTTTGCCTGACATCAACCTTGACTAAAGTGATTCGTCTTCTTCAGGTTTGTTTGAGTGCACTTCTTTTGGTTTATTTTTCCATGCCGACATCTAGTTTGAGGTTACCGTCAGTAGGCTGGCTTGGATCCAGCGCGGTCTTGATCCAGCTTCTTTCTGTCCGTGTCGGTCAACAAGTTCGTCCTTTAATCGTGCTATCTTGCCTGTATTGGTGAATTACTGCGTCAATAAACGGACTCGTGAACCCGGAACCTGGCACCAGCTCGTTAGCAAGTCACATTCCATTTAGTGCGTGAGTAAAAGCTTTCATTGGCGTTACCAGCGCATTCCCATCAACCTCCATTAATACAACATTACAACCTCCAGCCATTCCCAGCAAATCAGAAGGATTATTCAGCCATTACTCGACGTATAAATGTTTATTAATTTTGATTATTTATTACCGCTGCAGTAATATGTTTTAGATTTAAAAAGTCTAAGAGTTGTTACCTAATGATAAATTTCAAAATTATTATTTTATTCTGGTCATTATACTTCGAACACTTACTACTAAAAAGTTTCTTTACGAATTATTTGGTCCAAATTAACAAATATTATATATTAACAATTTTATTCGGCGCTGGATCAGTGACATTTGAGACAAAAATATTTGTTATAATTACTAAGTATATAGTTTAAAAATTTACAAAATACCAAATCCGCATCCAAAGAAGATCCTATAAATGGGGTTCCTGAAAAACGGTTCAAAATCGCAGTCTTGACCAATTTTTCGGACGCACGTGCTGGTTTTTTATAGCAACATTGTAGGACTGGACTTATTAAAAGCAAGTAAAAAGGCTCACTGCTCAAACAAATCACAGTTTTTTCCACAAAATTTAAACGTACCATTTCCATGAATGCATTATACTCTCAATACCGGTTCCTTCAGTACATGAAGTTTATAAGAAATCTAGGTCAGATGATGTACAGCGTTTGCGTGATGATACAGAGCGGTGGCAGCACAATACTTAACTGGACGTGCGTAATCTGTTAGAGCGCTCTAGTTGGTAATTTTGTTGTCAAGTCTGTAGCCGTTGCTAACATGAGTAAGTATGCAGCCTGCCATATACATAGTCTATACTATTGGAAGTATGCAGCCCGCCCTAGTCTATGCTATTGGCAGTATGCAGCCCGCCCTAGTCTATACTATTGGAAGTATGCAGCCCGCCCTAGTCTATACTATTGGAAGTATGCAGCCCGCCCCTAGTCTATACTATTGGAAGTATGCAGCCCGCCCCTAGTCTATACTATGGAGCCCTGCATGCATTGTGAACTATATATGACAACTGGCATGGCGCGCCCTCCGCCGGCCGGTAAAGGGAGCACAAAGCCTATTATCTCGTACCGTTCTGAGTGCCTTTCATGTAAACTAACGGGATCTGAACCCCAGTTTGGAGTGAGGCCTTTTACTGCAAGTGGGGCAGCTTATTGGCATTATTGGGTTCGGTCCGTAGGCAGATAAGTAGAGAAGTCAGAATGGTTTATGGCTGTGAGAGTTTAGGGGTCATGGATTGTGCCCTCACTTTCAATGGTACTAGAAACGCAGAAGAGAATTCAAAAGTGAGTACGTTCGTTCTTAAATTGTATGTGAAAATTTATACTGGATGAATCACGTACATAAATTTGATAATTAAAAGTCATATATTAATTTTTGAATATATAAAACTATTAAAGGAGCAAGTACTTCACAGCAATATACTTGGCTAGATAAAGTTATTTTATATCTCAAGTTTAACAGTTTAGTAGCCCGTAGTATTATCATGAACGAGTCGCTCGTGCATCTAGTATCATGAACAGTTCCTGAGCGTCTCCATACACAAACAACTTATTAAATTTAACTAATTAATTAATTAAATCGAAAGTAATTGATTAATTAAATCGATTACTTAATTTAATTAAAATATTTCATTAATTTATCATTATTAAATTTAAGTAGTCTTCTCTGGCTAAAATATTATATATATTTTTTCTTCGAAGTCCCAATAGGTCCTTGAAAGCGGGTCAGAGGCGTCAAGTTC